GCATCCACTCTGGTAGGACTATTACCTGGATCAAGAAGTTATCATGATGCCCATATCACTCCTGGGGGAACAAAGATGGTTTAGAACACTGTCAGAACACAGTCATTCCTTCATGGTGTGGAAATCTACTACAGTCCATGTGTTTTATTTGATCTATATCAAAGTGGTAATAATGAAATGTGTCAAACACATCAGCTTTTGCCATCAGAGGAAAAGAAAGCAAACAGTGTGTAGACATAAGAGAAATATTTAACAGAGGCTGGTGAACAGTGAAAGCTATAATATTTGTCATTGCTGGCATTCTCTTCTACAGGCAGATTCCTCCTGTGCTGCTGACAGCTCCATTCTCCACAGCCACACAATCAGATTGAAGTTGCTGTAGATTCACAAGCCCACCTAAAGTTATGCTGTGCTTTTCTGAAATGTGTGCACTCTTACAGAGGTTAAGTAAATCTGCTCTCAGACAGGCAAAGCTGATGGGGGCTCAGCAACATTTAGTTGCAGGCATTGGGATGTTCAAAAGTAAAAGTACTTTGTCATTTTAGAACTGGCAGTGGTTCTAGATCATATTGATTATATTGAGATCATCTACCCTTAATTCTGAGTGTAACTCCAGACTTTCACATCTCATAAAATACATCCAAATTCTAGTCTGGCTTTTCTAATCTCTCTACATAACCTTGCAATATCACTATAGTCCTCACAAATTACCTGACCCTCCTTCCAGAGATGATAGATTCTATTTTTCCCCCTAAATTCCAGCTCAAGTTTTCTGTTTAATCAGGCTGGTATTTTTCCCTGATGACTAGTCTTTCTCGAGTTGGAGGCAGCCTGGTTCCAAATATTTAACAATTCCTTTCTAAAGCATATCCATATCCAGCCTTTCTAAACTTCTTTGCACTTCAGAACTGACTACTGAACTGACTACTGAAAGGCCTCTGTCAATCAGTGTCCTGAAAAGGCCAAAGTCTGCTCGTTGGAAGTCCAAGGTGGAAGTTCTGCTGGTACCTCTCTTTATTTCACCCATTACTAAAACTCTAACATTTCCTGGACAAGGAAGATAACCACTGACTACCAAACCACCCTCCAGTCCTTCTGTGTTCACAAACAACAGGTCTAGCAGGACACCTTCTCTGATAGGCTCATTTACCAGTTGTGTTAGGAAGTTGTCATCCATACACTCCAGGAACTTCCTAGATTGCTTCCTCTTTGCTGTGCTGTGCTTCCAGAAGACATCTGGCAACTTGAAGTTGCCCATGAATACAAGGACTGGCAATCATGAGGCTTCAGCCAGCTGCTTGCAGAATGCCTCCTCTGTCTGTTCATCCTGGTTGGGTGGAATACAACAGACTCCCACCAGCATGCTGTCCACCCTGCTGGCCTTCCCCCTGATCTTTGTCCACAGGCAGTTTCACCCCACCACCTCTCCTGCTTTGCCTGTGTCTTCTAAAGGGTTTATAGGTATCCATTGCAGCATTCCAGTCATGACAGTCATCCCACCATATTTCCATGACAGCACATACATAACTTTCCAGTTGTACTATGGCTCCCAGATTTTTGTGCTTGCTGCTCAGACTGTGTGCATTGGTTTAGATGCACTTCAGCTGGGCTAATGGTTTTGTCCTTGTCACAAGCCTGTTACCCCTAGACTAATCTCTAGTAGTCTGGTCTTATCCCTTTCCCCCTCTGAGCACGGTTTAATATCTCTCAGTCAGCCCTGCTAATTCCTGGGCCATAGTTTCTGTGAGTCTGTCTTGATTGAATTAAGAAAAATATCTATGGGGCAGGTGTGTTGTAAAAATTTGTCCTGTATTGTAAGTGAAGTGGCTTTGTTGAGTATAATTATCACACCACAGTGTAATGTTAAATGAGGTATCTCAGGTTGGCTGAGAGTTTAACCATACTGACATTTCAGGATTGAGCCGTGCATGTAATATTTCTAGTATTGACAGGGTGAAGTGAGAAGTGAGAAGATGCTATCAGACTTATATTGTACTAGCTCTAGTCTACAAAAAATAAATGTCTTACACTGAGGAAACAGTAATTACCTCTATTCTCTCATTTTTCAAAGACTAAGAGAAGGTAGTTTTCTCAGTCATTGCAAAAATATTTTTTAAATAAACCATCTCAAAACTCAGGAGAGGAAGATAGAAAAGAACTGATGTTCCTGAAATAAGAACATTTTTACAACAGGAAAAAAAAATCAGATGGCATTTTAACAACTATTTTGGCACAGATCTCAATGTGGTATATGAAAAGCTGATATATCTTATTTACAGATTTTCTTTGTTCCTTTGACTACAGTTAGAAGAAAATACTTCATAAAATGCATTCTACTATCATTTTAATTGTTAGTAAGCAGAGTTGTCTGAAAATAGCTTTATACATACAGCTTATATACAATGTGTACAAAAACACAATAACAGACACTTCCAAAATGTGCACATTGGGTTAGCAACACGCCTAGTAAAGCTCCAGACAGATTAACTAATTCCCCTACACCATGCTACAAGAATTTGAAAGGAGCTATACAAAATTTAGTTTACTTACTTGAAACAGACTTTGAATATTAGGTCTGGGAAATGAAGCAAAACCATGCTGATTTCCTGACAAGAAGCAGTAATAGTCTACCTCTGAACAACTTCTCCTCACAACAAAAAGGAACCAACTGTAGCTTTCCATTCTGCCAGAAAGATGGTTCATGCTGTCCATACCACACACAGGAATTTAAGACATTGGGTGGAGTGTGTGAATCAAACAGAAGCATCAAATCTACTACAAGGCCACCTGTATCATCTAGTAATGTCCACATCAGAAAAATTCATTTAAGAAATAAAAACTGCAATGGATTTCAAAGTTCTGTGAAAGGCTATGCAGTGTAGAAAGATTGTCAAAAAAAAATGAGGAGCAGGGAACCACAAAAACCCCAGCAGAAATAAACAGAAAACTTGATCACAGTCAATGATAAACATCAAGAATTGACAAAGGAAGACTTTAAGCATTAGTGCTTTGCAGGTGTAAAATACTTGTGACTGAAAAGGACTCGAGATTGATCAGAAGAGCAGAATCCAAAACTTTGTCTGTCAGGCATCCAGGAAGAATTAGTGATATAAAATTAAAAAGTAGTTCTGAGAACATGTGGGCTCACACAAAACTAAGGTATGAAGAAAGACAAGAGGCAAAATGAAGAAAAAGGAGGATGAGGCAGTATTAGGCAGTTATAGATGTGTCCTGGTTCCAGCCAGAAAAGGGTTCATTTCTGCAGTAGCCAGAAGGGAAATGACCTTGAGGTTACTCTATACCACCTCATGCCAAAGCAGGGGCCAAGAAGGGATGGGTTCCTTTCAGTCAGGCCAATGGTGAAGTGAGTGGCCCAGATAGTGCCAAGTTCCCTGTAGTGATTGCATATGAATCCTTCACTTCTTGTTATGAATTCTAATAACACTCTGTTATTAATATTGTTGTTGCTACTGTTTGTTGCTTATTTCATTGCCGTTTCTAGTAAATTGTTAGCATCTTAACCCTTGATATGTACCTTTTATGCCTCCAATTTCTCTTCTCTATTCCCTGCAGGGGGAGAGAGAGGGGGAAGTGTGGAGTGAGACAGCGGCACATGGTTTGGAGTGTTTCAGTGGGAACACTAAACTGGGAAATTCCATTCCTAAACTATGACAAAATGACAGGTTTTTAAACCATTCCACATAGATTTACAAGTTCAAGTTAATCAGATCCTTTGTATAACACCTCCTAAGAAGCCACTGGAGTCACAGGGCAACTGCAACCAGCTAGGGTAGGCCATATGGAGCCAGTCTAAACTGAACTCAATAAGTTTTCTCATTTGAATGCTGAACACAACTTTATGTACATTACATCCTCCTATAGGTCTCACTGGCTGGTTGGCATTGAAAACTTCAATCTGTTACTTTCCCTGTTGAGTGTTTACAACTGGGGATTTTTTTTTCAAGATAATTATCTAGAACACTTACAGTTTACACCAATATTGCTTTAAAAAATTGGGTAGGGATATAACTAGTCTTGAAGAAAAAGGAATTGCAGAAAAAAGGTTTGAATTTCAGGTGGTTCACAGAGTTACAAACAGAACTAAATAAGGGCAAGTGTATTATAAAGGACAAAGGGAACAATGAATGGATACACTGCATTAGCACTTCAGCTTTTAAAATTATAAGACTAGCAACTAATTCCAAAGTCCAATCTAAATGTCTAGTGTACTCTCTAGTATTCACCTTGGAGAAGTCACTGCAGAAGTACAGGATACAGTGTTGTGATAGAGACAGATCTGTGCTGGAACAGTTCCACCCAACTGTAAAGAAAAACATACTTCAAATTACATTTGGCTCATGAGCTGACCATAAAAAACTACTTCCACAAGGTGCCTTTGTCTGCTATTACTGCCCCTGCTAAGAAAAACACTGCGAGCACCTTGTCTCTGGAGCTCACCTGTGAAAGCTAACCTCTCACCAGGCTTGGGAATGATTATTTGTCACATTCTATGTCACCGTATAAGGGGAATTCTGCTCTGACAGCCTCCTTCAAACTTTTGTATTAACAGCCTTGTATAAGTAGCAGCAGTAAGCTTCAGTCATTGTATCTATGTGACTACCTGCGTTGACATGTGAGCTGATTATAGAAAAAATAAATTAAAAATAAAAGTTTAATGGAATCCAAAATGCCTAACAGTCTTAAGCAAACTAGCACACACACCACAGAGCTAAAGTCATGCAAAATCTATTAAAGCAAAACACAAGCCTGGATCAATATTCAGTTAAAAATACATATTTTCATATCAGAAAATCTATACTTTTAAAAGCAATGTTTTATCAGATACACTGCTTTCCTTTGTGTTAAACATATATCAGCATATCCTTTAAATTACAATATTATGTCAATCAGTTTTGTTTTCTCAATATAACATACTCTTCACTTCCAAGAGTCAGAGTATGAAATAATCTCAGATTGGCCAGAATTTAACAGAGCCTCTCCTCTGAGGACTGTCTAAGAACAAGAGCCAAAAGTGACTTACAAGCTGCAAAGGAAAAGTTCATATTTGTTTCATAGTCAAAAATCACACTCATTAGATCATAATGACATTTCTTGTTTCAAGTTGTGCCCATTCAGCTGTGTCATGGTAGTTACTGTGTTCCTGGTATTGCTTTTCAGGGAAGTCATTTGAATGGCAGAAGAGTTGCACAAGTAGCTGGCAGATCTCTCTTTCTGAGCTTTCTTCCTGCAGCGGAGCTGGTTGTTGAAATGTCTTCTAAAACTCTCACTGAGGAAATACAGTGCGAATGGGTTGACACAAGAGTTGCAGAAGCTTAGCACTCGGGCCACTAAGGTAACAACCATATGTCCCATCGATGGATCAATCTTATTGTAATGAAAAGATCTGTACATGTATAGCACGTGGTTAGGAAACCAGCAGATAGCAAAGAAGCCAACGAAAACTAAAACAATTTTTGCCAGACGCTTCCGAGTTTCCATCTAAAAAGATTAAGAGAACCCAAATGAGCAACAACAAATAAAACTACCCCACATAACAGACTTAATTAAAATATGTAGCATTTTGCTATATTAGCTTCAACAACTGTCATGAGTAAGGCCAGCAAAAATGCTTCCTTCGGGGCCTGAATTATTTTTGCTCTCTCATTTCCTCTCCTTTCCCTCATTCAGTGAACTTTCTTAGCTGTTTGCAGCTACAGCAGGTTACTCTTTCTATATGATACATACAGCAAGGAAGCACTGTTTTTTCATGACCCAAGGAAGCACTGGTTTTTAGCCTGTAAGCATGCACCAAAAGGTGTTATCAAATGTAACCTTTTCTGACGAGATCCCAGTGCTTGGCTCGAAACTTAAGTTTTAGTTAGAAAGCGATTTAGAAATAGCTTCTAGTTTCAAAATCTAGAGGTCTCATGAGATAGACATTACTAGGGTGTTGGCTACACAGTGGTACTTATATGCCTTTGTTTTTCACTGAGGGTCTCAGCTTGCACCTCTCTCCCGGGGAAACCATCAAAATTGTATTACACCATCTAAAGCATCTTAATTCCAGGGTAAGGTGAAATGTTCCATTAATTGCAATAACATCACAAAATGTACCTTAATTGCAGTGCTAAGGTATAACAGATTATGTTGTAGATACTGAGAGTGGCTGAAAACATGGCAGGATAGGAGCCTACACAGAGGTTCTAAAGTGAGAGAGGAAGATAAGCTGGCCAGGTAGAAGGCACCAAAGAGAAGCAGAAATTTTCCCCATATTCCTCCTAAAAGATTTGTTATGTATATCAGACATGTAACTTTTGCAGAGGAAGGAAAGTTTTCTGCTCTGCCCAATTTTCTGGCGGGGGGGAACCCAATCAAATTAATTTATTCTAACTTTTTTTAAACCTGTGAAATTAATCTTTAAATTTTTTTCTTGGGTCTGTCTAAACAAAAAACTGGGGAAATCAAAAAAGATGGGAGAACTCTAACATTCAAATTTGGTAGTATTTGCACTCAGACAGATTGCAAGAGCAGACTAAAAGGTGCAGAAGTATAGTGTTATATTCCACTTGGCTTAAAGAAACATGAGCTGATAGCAATAGTCTGAATTTATTTCCTCTTGCTGGGAGATATGTAAGTACACCAGAATTTTCTGTTCTTCAGAGCCTCATAGATTAACAAAGAGGAAAAAAAAAAACCTAAGTAGAATGAAAAAATGTGTTCTTACTTTGAAAATACATGTGAGTTCAGAAATGTGGTATAAATTAAATACTGTTTCCATCCAGAGGGTTCAGCCAAAAGGCTCTCTATATTTCACTGGGAAATAAAATAATACATGAAGTGCTAATATGTATGCACTTTTGACAAGAAGCAGACTAGAGTAGAAATCAAATGTTGCTCAAAGAGGACGTAAAGGAATGTAGTCTTCCGAAAAGAATGTGTGCATGCAAAGAGATTTCTGAGAGTATGAAAGTAGTTTTCTAAATTACTGGCAGAGAAAACAATTCAAAACTGTTTAAATTGGCATAATTATTTTTCTCTATCAGTACTAATGCTTTTGCAAAGCAGCTGAGGGGCTTTCACTGCAAAAACTGTTGTTTGTACATGTGTGTTCCTGCTAGTGTTACTATCTTGTTGCTTCCTGTGCCTTATGGGAAAGATTGGCTTTCTCCAGCATTTTAAAATGCTCTGTCTCAAAGATATACGGAATCTATACCTATCTATGCTCTATGTTCACATTTCCAGCACTCCTTCATCTGAAAAGAATCTTAGATCCCCTGAGTAAAGTTTTCCCTATCTATGTCAGCTTTCTCACTTCCAAGCACAAATAAAAAGGGACAATTCTCAAAACATTCATGTAAAATTTCTTTCCTAAAATGACTGCCAATAGAGACAGTTGAAGCCACCATCATTAACTACAAAAACATCACTCTTCAGTAAGAGTACAAGTAATGGTTACAGTAACAGCACATACAAACATATATAGTGAACTCACATGCTGCTAGGAATGTGCATTCATGGCAGTGAATTTATAATTTTCCTTGTTCATATTCATTTACATACTGAGCTTAGTATTGAGTAATCGTGAAAACCAGACAAATGTTGAGATAATCCTTGGTTTATTTCATGTGGAGACTGAACTAATCCTCAGTAAAATCCAACCATTTAGATGTTATTGACTTTCATCTATAAGTGTATACAGCACACAAATCTTTTACTAGGATGTGAAAAGCAAATTGCTTACCTGTCTTTTGGAATGCTCACTGTGTTCCCCAGGGATGTTGTGAGCACTTTTTATTAAACTCTTTGCAATATGACAGTAGTAGATACTGATAATTACAAGAGGGACAAGGAAATACACGAGGAAAAGCAGCACAGAATGGATCTTTGGGTGCATGTCGTCTGTCATGGGGTATGGTATGCATGCTGTGAAAGTGGCATTATCTGTGTCATTGATGTGAGCCAGTTCGGAGAACACTGCTTCAGGAACTGCCAGGAGCATGGAGATTACCCAGATGGCAGTGGCTTTCAGACAAGTCCATAGCACTGCACTGGAGGTCTGGATGTCCATGGGATTTACAATTGCTTTGTACCTGAAATTGACCAAAACGCAGACACAAATTAAAAGGTATTCAAATTCAACATGCAGTCCATAAGCGTACTTCATATCTTTGATTAAAACAATGTCATGTTTTTCTCTCATTTGGGATTTCAAGGGGCTTTTAATCTTTCTTTAACTTGAATTCTCTAAATCTCCACCTTTTTTTGTACACACTCATCAGAGGAGGTGGGAGGAGACCTGGATACAACCTGTGGCTGTATGTGCCCATTCTGTGCCAGTGTGGTGAAAGTGAAGAATCAGCCATGGCTCTACCCTTTGCTTCTCAAAATACCCCCCAGAAAACCTCCCACCACTAGGTAGGTGCATCCTACCTCCATGCTCCACGTGTGCCAGCACATGCACACTTAGTATTTCCTTCCTTTTTTCCTCAGCTCCTGAAGCCCAGGGCTCTCTCTTGCTGCCACCACAACTTTCCCACTCTAGGACATTCCCACCCCCTTAGAGGAATATCTGCATCTTCATAAAGTCAGGCAGTTATGACTCCCAATGGCCTGTGCAGAAAGTATTAAACTCCTACATAAAGTAAATATTTCCACATCAATAGCTGGAAGCTGCTGCTCTACACTGCATTTTGGAAAACTGTCTCATAATGTATGATTACATATAAACCTTTGTGGAACTGATAATTGCATAGCCCCTGCAATGGAAACAGGAAGAATTTCAGAGAATGGAAATATCACTCTAGAGCAAAGAAAAATAAATGAATACAAGTAGACTTTGGTCAGGAATTCTTTTATTTAAAAAAATCATTGCAGGAGGTGATACAAAGTCAAACATTCCACAAGAAAATGTAATTGTTATAAGGACAAATAGAATTTGAGAAAAATATTTCAAACATATTTTAAAGTTCCACTTACATTTGTAATTTATTTTAATTTTTTTATGTAAGTAAATTATTCTTACATTAATATTTCTATTAAAAACTAAATCTTAAAGGTTAAACAAAACATTTCATTTTGTCTAAGCTGTGGCAGTATGGAAGCTCAGGGGATTTTTCTTAACTGCATTAATTTTTTTGTTTCTACTTTCAATTTGATTTGGGATGGCTGTGTTTTTTTCTGAAAGAGCAAAAGTTTTGAGAAATTTAAAAAATTATTCTCCTTTAATATTCAAGGAAAAGTTTAACAAGATAAGGGGAGTCAGTAGAGGTTCATACTCCAGGTACATAACTTTGTTCATCCTCTAGTGTTTGTAGTCAGTGAAGAAGTATGAATCACTTTCAAGGAGTGATTCAGATTTTAGGTATATTAAATCACCCTCTAGGGTGCTTGGGTTTTTCCTCTGTTAGCTACACAATGAGCTTAGATTAAGGAGAACAGTAAGTCAGAGGCCTCTACTTTGTGATAAAATTCCTTATCCATGCATGTAGATAGATATACATGCCTGTGGATGTATAAATGTGTACGGGTATGAGCAAGTGTCTGAATACTTACCAAGGATTAGTTTATACCTAAATATAACTTGGTTGCTGAAGAGAATGCTGATAAATGCAGCTGTGATCCCTAACACCCCTTAGGGCTAATTTGCAGGTCCTGACAGGTAGTTCATAGCCCCTCAACACCTTAAGCAGATGTTTGCAACTGGCTATGCCATGAAAGAATCTGGAGCAGAGCATTATCATGGTACCCAAGGAAGCCTTTCCTTCGCAGAATATGTGAGTCAAAATGTGCCTTGGGGTCCTCTTTCTCAGGTTTGTGATAAATCATTTGATCATGAAATAATTTAAAATAATGGCTATTAATGTTCATATCCTCTCTAAATTCAGAGAGAATTTTTGACTGTATTTTCACCCCTATCATGGAGTAGAAAACAAAACTCAGAAAACTGTCTCTGTTAATTTATATTTACCATTTCTGCTAACACGCAGTGAGAAACTCCCTGGACACCAAGGTGTAAAGAAAGCCTTTATACTGCCATAGGAAGGACAGTAGCTTCTGCAGAAGTATGAATACTCCCCAGCACAAACTGTAACCTCATTATTCAATAATTGCTTCCTATTGCTGTCTGCCTTTATTTCATTACATAAAGACAGACCCTCTATTTTTGAAGTGATGTCAAGTCCTTACATCTGCTCATTTTTAAAAAGTTTGCATTTTTAAGGAGAAGCTGGTTTGGTGATTTTGGGGTAGGGGGAGGACATTGGATAAAAATAATGTTTTGTAGTACAGATGGCTTTCCTCTCCTTTTCCACTTCATCACTTCAAAATACTTTGACCACAGTCCTATGACCCAAGTAAATGACCATGTCACAAATAGTTGTTTTAGCAGCAAATTGGCCTAGTTAATCTCTAAATGGAAGAATTTTTCAGAAGTCTTTACGTTAACAGAAGATGTGACATATATTTGTACTTTGGCATATATTGCTGTTTCAGCAAATAGTATGTTTTTCTCTGAGCCATAACTACTCCAAGTGGAAAGGCACTGAAGCAGAGTGCCCCATTTCACAAAACAGCTGAGTTTAGCACAAAAACCCCCTTCTTTCGTTCAGCTTGCTAGTTTACTGGCTACAAGGTGGCAATCTTCCTAGGATTCAGCCCTTCACAGTATTCAGTGTCAAGAAAAATACACTGTGTTTTACAAAAAAACTGTCATCTTGTTTATATCTTTAAAAAGCTATGGAGTGAAAAGAAATAGGTTACAGATAAAATGAAATGTATCCTGAATATAATGAGAAGTGTTCCCAAAGTGAAAACCCAACCTCTGCCTTTCATAAAACCAGTGTAAGGCTAAAACATACCACCAACCATTCAAATTACAAAGACCATATTTTCCATCAATAAAAACAATGTCAGCAAATTAGACTAATGGTGCAAATTAGTCAAATTAGTAAGTAGATTCATCTTTTACTTCACTGAAGAAAAAAGAGCAAATTATAGGTTGTCATGAAGTTCAGGAAATAATTATAAATATGCATTTTGTTTTAATTAAAAGTCATCATGTAAATCCTGTCTTCCTATATCCTCTATCACTATCACTGCTGACAAAGGGACCCCAGCTTGGGAAACCCCTCCTGTCTTTGAAGCTGTGGTTTCTGCCAACAGACACAAACTTGCCCCACTCTCCTTCAGCAGATTGGTTTCTTTGTATAGGGGGTGGTTTGGTGTTTTTTTCCATTTTAAAGCAATCTCCTCTCTTCTACACAATCCCTACTAGAAGGGAAGGAATCTAGAAGAATACCTTCTTTCTCTAGAGGTATAACATTTTGCTACCTTCCAAACTCCAAGCTATTTTATCTACTTCTCCTAACCTTTGTTTTCAAAGACTTTCTAAAGGTATCTCTCAGCTCCAAATTAGAATGGAAAGTTCTACCCCCGTTTCTGCTGCATCCACAATGCTGTTTCCCTCCCACAGAGTTGATTTCAAAGGAAGGTGCTCCTTTACTAAACCTACAATGTCATTCCTTTGCTTTCCTACCTCTTCTCCTAGAGCACTTTGTTGTGATGACCTTAAAAAAAACCTAAAAACAAAGCCCCAAAATAACTAGTCGATATTTGGGCAGCCATTGGAAAATAGCCTACCATTCTAACTAGATTAGCCTCAATATCTCCTCGCCCTTTTGATTGTGTGTAGTCTCTTGTCCTTTTTTAAAAGCCCTTCAGGTCAAGGACTTTCTTCTTGTTGCTGTTTATATAGTACCTGCCAGAAACAGGACCCTAATTTATCACCTGATTTCCTACATGACATCACAATGAAAAGAAATATAATAATGAAGTGTCAGAAGCCAGGCAGAGACACAATTCAGGCAGGGAAGTTTCACATTGCTTTAATTTTCATTTTAATCCTGGAGCTGGAGGGGTTGGCATTATTTGCCTCATTATAAATAAGCTTTTTAAAGTGATGTTGTTGTGTCATTGCACTGCATTTCCTGCAAACTGGAGTAATTTATCAAAGCCATTCATATGGTTTTGATAAAAAGACTCCAGTCTTTTATTGTGCCCTTGCACCACGTGCCCTTGCATGGTGCTTTCAAACACAAAAATTTTAACAACATAAAAGCTTATAAACATATCCAAAAGGAAACCTGGTTGTATAATCAGTATTTGTTAAAAATGCTCATATCATGTCCAGTTGCAGTCCACTCAACTACAGTAAAATGAAATGTTAGATGGGACCAAAGCCCTTTCCCTTGTATGCGCAGTCCAATTGGCCCAGCTCCAGCAGAATCATTAAGAGGAAAACAATTTATCCTGCTGAAAACATTGTGGGATCATTTTATCATTTGAATTCAGATATGCATTGTTCTATTTTATTCTCATAAATTCTTGAAATGTAAAGTACATGTCTCTCTTTTTTCAGATAATATCAATGTTTTTATTCTGTGTTTATCTCTTGAGAGCAGAGAATTGCATTCACTCAGGAATGAGCATCTCTGAGGTCTGATAGTGAATATAATGAACAGTATTTGAAATGCAGACTAGAAGACCATGTGTAAACACACTTAAAGTCAATGTCAATGTCAATAACATGTGTTCTGTGTTTTGCAGGGGGAAAATCTTAAGATTTTCCTAAGTGGAAAAAGTTTTCCACTCTGTAAAAATACACTGTGTTGAGCCAAAAAAATATCAATAATGGTTCAACACTTGTTGATGATTTCTCCACCCTGAAAAGAATCAAACCAGAAGTTCTCCAGGATGGTGGAAGGATTTTTTTCTGCATGAAGTGTATTACCTGTCCTGTCCACTCGTTTCAGAAGAGAAATTTTCTCTTTCCTTTTCATTTTTTCTTCTCTTTCTACTTCTGCTACTTGCTATTTGCCTCACATTAGCTAACTATGCTTCTTACAAGCTCGTGCAAATCTTGCAATGCCAGCTCATTGCCTGCAATCTGGACTTCACTTCTACTTCTCTAAAGCCATTCATTTATATCTGCACTAGTTAAAAGCATGAGTTAAAAGTACCACAAATAATTTGTTCAATCTGCTCCTGAAAGCAATATTAGTAACTTGTTTCACCAGCTATTATTCAGAAAAGT